CCTCACATGGTTTGTGTGATTATTTAGATAGTGTAATGGTTTGGGTATGAGGTGTCTCCCAAAGACTCATGTATAAGACAATACAAGAAAGTTTAGAGGTGAAATGATTGAGCTATGAGAACCTTAACTTAATTAGTACATTAATACCCTGATAGAGACTAAGTGGTAACTGTAATTGGGTAGAGTATGGCTGGAGGATGTGGGTCATTGGGGGGCATATATTTTGTCTCTAGAGAGTGGAGCTGCTCTCTCTGCTTCATGGTACCATGTCCCCAGTTGCTTTCCTCTGACATGCACTTCCGCTATGATGCCTCTTCAGGCCTGAGGAATGGAGCCAACTGTCTATGAACTGAGACCTCTGAAATTATGAGCCCCTAATAAACTTATCCTCCTTAAAATTGTTCTTTTCAGGTCTTTGGTCACAGTGGCAAAGAAACAAACTAAAACAAATAGTGACAGCTATTATCAAATATTCAAATAACTATACAAAATTATATTATTACATGATATTTTAAGTGTTATGTGTTTTACCCATAAGACTGAGTTAACTATAAATGCAGACTTTGTATTCTTCATATTTATATCTCTATAACTTTGGCTACATGGTATATATCAAATAATTAATAAATTTTTTGTGAATGAATGACCAAAATTATAGGCAAGTACAGTTATTCCTTGGAATCATTGGGGGATTGATTCTGGGACCCCTGCAGACATCAAAATTCACAAGACATTTAAGTCCCTTATATAATATGATGTAGTATTCATATAGAACCTATGTATATCTTCCCATATACTTTAAATCATCTCTATATTATTAATTAATATAAAAACTATGTAAATGGTCGGGTAAATATATTTTAGGGAATAATGACATGAAAAACGATTTGTACAGGTTCAATGCAGATGAATACTTTTATGAATAATTTTGATTAGGGTTGGTTGAATCCAAGGATGTGTAACACATACCGATGGAAGGCCAATGTAACATAAAAAGAAAATACACATAATTACACATGCACAAGTATTCACATGTATAATAGAGAAGTACCTGATTGGGTAAACAAGATCTTAGCCTCAAATCACAATATTCATATTCCTTTTTATGACTCAACTTGTAAATCAGTTATCTACTTTATGACTCTTCTAATTAGAATTCTTACAAACGACCTTATCATAGTTGCCCTATACAATATGTAAGAATATTTACTTTCAAAGTAAATACTCAGTGATGCAAGGATGCATATAAAGTCAATAAAAAATGAAAAAGAGAAAAACAAACAATAAAAGAACCATTTCCATAATGAAATAATAGATAAATAACCCAACAAAAATAAAACCATATAAGTATTGAAAGTCAGTCTTTCAAAATAACCAGGCTGAGGGTTTAGCTCAATGGTAGACTTCTTGCCTAATATGCACAAACCCTGAGTTCAATCCTCAGTACCACAAAGAAAAAAAATACTAGAAATAAATATCAAGTAGTGGCATTTTAAAAATTTTAAGATTTGGTTTATACCCACCTATAAAGACTGTGAAGCCTACTTAGCCTGATTTTTACCAAGGTAATTTCTTCATTTAATGCTCCATCAAAAAATTTTGTTTTGAAAAATATAAAATTTTAATAAAGGCTACATCTCTTATACAACAATTATTATACTAAGTAACTTTCCTTAAATGAACTCTTTATAATGCATATCACTATATATCTAATATATATGTCACAATATATATATCTCTATATATTTAAATTTTTTTGGTATCCCAGTACCCTAGTACTCCAATTGAACTCAGGGACACTCAACCTCTGAGCCATATCTGCAGCCCTGTTTTGTATTTTATTTAGAGTCAGGGTCTCACTTAGTGCCTCACTGTTGCTGAGCCTGGCTTCAAACCCTCAATCTTCCTGTCTCAGTCTCTTGAGCCACTGGGATTATAGGCATGCACCACCATGCTCAGCTGCATAATTTACAGTATAAGTACAACCATGACAAAAGTCATTGAGGACAAGACTGTAGTAAAAAGGCATAAATTATATTTATACATAAACCCCCTTCAAAAATCAAGGGAAGCTTGAGCCCTCAATATAGGGCAACATGGGCACTATGTGGCTTGGGCTTGCTCTACCACTCTCCAGCATCTACCACCAGACATCCTGCGATCTGTCTCCTTCCTCCCTAGGAAGTTTCAGGGCCCTAGCTCTGCTAGGGGCCCCTCCTCTCCTGGCTGTCAGGGCCAAGCCCCAGCTCTGTGCCTTGTCCTGGTTCATTTGAGCAAGGTACTGTCTCTGTTGCCACAAAACTGCTCCCTGGGCATGGACTCTGGAGCCTTGGGGTGGCTCTTACATTTCGAGTACTAGTAATACTCAGTGCCCCCAGGGCAGAAGCAGTGTTACCTTCAGTGTCTCCCCCTCCTCTATCTCCTCCTTGATCTTAGGGATGGCATGGTGTCTTAAGTAGTGATAGTCTTTTTTTGTGTGAAGTCCTAGCTTCTGACAAGTGTGTAAGCAGCCGCAGGAGGTGGGGAAGGGAGCTTGCCCCTGGATGGAAGGAGGAAGTGGTACTGATGATGGTGGTGGTCCAGGAAGCAGGAGCATGGGCTGTAGTAGCCCAAGCTGGGTGACTGGCAGCCAGGAATCTTGAGGACTCTGGAGAGGTGATCATCTGTAATCATCTGACAGTCTTCCTTGTACCTGCCTATAACCTGCTCCCGCGAGCTCAGTGCCTCCTTCTCTTTGTCCTTGTGATCTGCCAAGTTCTCCAGCTCCAACTTCAGCTTCTCCAGCCTCCAGATGAACTGGACCACAAAGATAGCGGGCATCATCTCCTTGGGCAGGCAGTGGGTTCTTGGGAAATGAAGTAGGGACACTTGGCCATTGGCCTTGGCACTATAAAGCATTTCTCTCTGGAGCTGTTTCTTACAACTCATGGGATAAAGAGGGATTCCATTCTACGCTACTGTCCTTCAAGGACATGGAATCATATGTCAGCGCATCACTGGGTATCTCACTGTCACTAGTGCTGGTGGCTTGTACAGTACAAAGACACAGCCAGAACCCATGTGGTATGGATTGATAGGATCACTCCTCTTGAGGGACCTGCATCCATGTTCAGACAGTTCTGTGGACCGCACAATCATTGTGGACCTCTGAATTTTGTTGGACAATCCAATCATTCTGGGAGAAAGTTTGCACTTGAAGTCAGCACAAGTCCATTTCCTTTCTTTGTTCAAGGTAGGGAGGTAGCCATGCAAGACCTTTAGACTCCTGAGTTCGGCATTACTCAGGTAAGCTGTGTTCTCTCCCCGACTCCTCACATATTCAAGGTATATATTAAAAGTCAAAAACATGTGGTAGGCATTTTTCCTCCATCACCAAATGGATCTCAGTCTGCGCCTGGTCAACATGATGGAGTCAATTTGTTGGTTCTTGATATCATCTCTTATGTAGGACTTGGTGGCAGGTTTCAGTTGCTTGGAGACAATGCTGTTGTTTTCGATGTACCTCTTGTAGATCACTTTGGCTACTCTCAAGTTTTCATATCCTTAAAGTTCATCTGCCTGAATCCACTCAAAGCAAACCAGAAGTCTGAGGTCTCCATACATTTCTTCCCCTCCAGGAAAGTCCAGAAGAGGTCAGCACCCTCTTAGTCACTCAGTCAGCAGTGCAGGGACTTGGTCCACCTAGTCAGAGGGGAATAGAGGAATGCGCTCGCTCCTTGGCCTCCCCCAAGCTGTCTTCATTTCACCTGGCATTGTAGCAGACAGACATGGGTTTTCTGACCTGACCTTTCCCCATCCCTGGCAAACAGGGTGGGATCCCCCTTCTTCACCTGGAACCAGGGGCTGAAGGGCATCCTCATGGAAGCAGCTTCTGGAATCCAGGAGAAGAGCCTTCCATTTTCTCTCTGCAATCCGTGGTGTGGGTGTGTCTCTGTCTATGTCTGTCTGTCTCTTTCTCTCTATGGCATTCTCTCTCTCTCTCTCTCTCTCACTCACACACACACACACTCGCTCTAGCTCTGCCTATCTCACTATCTCGCTCTCTCATCTCTTTCAAGTCAGTACGGGCTCATCTAAGCCTCCTCTCATTGATTAGCACACACTCTACACTAGACCTTGCGGCCCTGGCCTCTCCTCCTCCTTGACTCACAGTGGCAGCCCTGGGACCCCTGGTCTTGCGGCATGGGGGAACATAAGGAGTCTACCACAGGGGAGGGGGTCAAAAGTTTTTAAAATAATAAATCATAAAATTATTAATAGAATATTTGCTAATATAAAATCATACTTATTCCTCTATGGTAATTAAATTAGATAAAATTTAAATAAGATTAGAATTTTATTTGAAAAAAATTAGTGTTCACAAATGATATTCCATTAATATGCCTTCTACTTGCATCTTTAGAAGGAAAATTCAAAAAGAAAAGTAAATAAAATAAAATAGAACAAATGCTCTTCTTAAGAAAGGATTTCATAGGATATATATTTTTGCTCATAAAACATAAAAATAAGTTGCTAATGATTATAAAAGTTATTTTGTTAATTACATTCAGAAAAAAATCACTTTACAGAAGTTAAGATATAAAAAATTGACAAAAATTTAAGCCGAAATTTGTCCATATCTTCCAATCTTCTATGCCCAACCTATTTGTATGATCTTTATTTCCTCAACATGTACTGCAAAAGTAGCATGGTGCTTAAGAATACAAAAGGTACAAAATGGAAGGTGTGGAAAATAAGACAAAACTTCTATAGCAAATGTTATCACTGGCAAGCTTTTTTAGAAACAAATGATTTTCTAGAAACATTTCTCTCTCATTCCAAAGTTTATATTTATCTTAATTATATTACTTTGTTGTTATCTAAAACTGTATCTATGGTCTACTAATTACACTCTAGTAGTTCTTAAAATATAGCTATAATACTTTTGGATCAACATAATCAAAATAAAATTAAATGTGTAAAACCAAATTTAGAAGCATAATTATCACACTGATACCTACCTCCTAGAAATGCCATTAGCCAGACATTTATGGCTGCAGGATTTAGAGGAGAGTGGTGATGAAGTTGGAGACAAGTTGAGAGGGGCAATCAAACTGTTGATGATTTCAGTTAACTGTGCACTCTGCAAGAAAACAGTCAATCCTTTAATAGTGTTAAGCAAGGGATGTGAGTTAACTTCCAGGTCTATATTCCTATTCAGTACTTAAACTTCTCCTCAAACATGTAGTCGCTTATTTTTTTTAAGTTGTAGGTGGATACAATATCTTTATTGATTTTATTCATTTATTTTATGTGGTGCTGAGGATTGAACCCAGTGCATTATGCATGCAAGGCAAGTGCTCTACCACTGAGCTACCACCCCAACCCTGTAATTGTTTATATTTTAAGAAATCTCTTAATCTAGGAAGATGATTCATGCTACAATGATTTTTTTACTTTTTTCCCCCTTTGGCAATATTGGGGATTAAATCCATGGGCTTTCTACAACTAAGCTACATACCAAGCCCTTTTTATTTTTTATTTTGAGGCAGAGTCTCACTAAATTACCCAAGCCAATCTCGAACTTGTGCTCCTCCTCAGTCCCCTGAGTAGCTGAGATTACAGGCATGTACCAATGAGCCCAGACGATTTACATTTTTAATTATTCATTGTTTTCCATATCCTTTTTATTACAATTCCTTTATCTACCAATCTCATCCTCTAGAACATTTGAAACCAGCTAATAATATCTATAATCTTCCTTGAGACAACCCCATTAATAATAAAAAAATGATAGATATACTTTATTGTCCACTATATGCCAGGTACTACACTAGGCAACAAATTTAGAATAGTTCTAATCTTTAAAACTAATCTTCTAAGTAGATATTAGAACTACTGATATCACTATTAATACTAAATATAGATGATGAAATTATAGGAAAGAAAGACTAAGTAGTTTGAACAAGTATCATGAAGGTGTTAAAAAATGGAGGTAGGATCCAAATTTCAGGCATTCCAATTTAATATCAGATAAATTACTAAACAGCCTTCTGAATTACAAAATATTTATAAAAGTGGTTTGTTTTTTTGTTGTTATTTTTTATTTGTTTGTTTCGGTACTAAGGATTGAACCCAGGGTGCTTAACTACTGAGTCACATCCCCACTCCTTTTTTTATATTTTTATTTAGAGACAGGGTCTCACTGAGTTGCTTAGGGCCTTACTAAGTTGTTGAGGCTGAGTTTGAACTCATGATCCTTCTGCCTTAGCCTCCCAAGCCGCTAGGATTACAGGCATGCGCCACCATGCCCCGCTAAGTGGTTTGATTATATATTTCAACTAAGGAAAACTGTAGGTAACTATAGACCTAAAAAATAGGAGAAATATATAGGAAAATATATATTGTATTTTGGTTTACCAGGAACCAATCACTAAATTATTTCACAGTGTATGTTAAAAAAAAAAAACAGGAAAATTAGATGTAGGCAGATATGAATCCATATTATTTCCTAGAGGAACAGTGTAACATGCAGCAGTGGTTAAGAATGATTATGCTCTGACAGATCTGTCCAGTTGCAAAGGATAGATATAAGGTAGATATGTCAGAATAATCAAACTTCTGAAGTCATTTACAATAGAATTTAGATACCAGAGAAAGTTTTGGAATCAGAGTAATTTGTTAGAGGCTTTTCTGACTTTCCATTTGAATAATCATTCTTTATAAAGACACTCATAAGTAAAGACACTCATATTCCAATATTATCTTTCACTAAATTCCTGAACAATAAATTTGGTCAACTTTTCAGATTTACCAACTACTTGTAACAAATATCCCTGTTCTTTTCCACTGAAAAAAGTCTAGTAATAAGCAATTTTGTTAGAAAAAGGATTTTCCAAGCCCTAGAATAGATGAATGATTACTTTAAAGCTATGTTCTAATTAAAATCTAAATAATTTAAAGAATATCAATATTAAAATAAAGACAAGTCATAGAGTAAATATTTTGATTGGGTGTAATGTAAATTTGCTAGTTTTATTTATTTATTAAATTGACTAATTAATTTTTGTGGTACTAGGGATTGAAACTAGGGATGCTTTATCACTGAGCTATATCCCCAGTCTTTAATTTTTTAGAAAGATCTGGTTAAGTTGCTAAGGGTCTTACTAAGTTGCTGAGGCTGGCTTTGAACTTATAATCCCCCTGCCTCAGCTTTCTGAATCACAAGGATTACAAACACGCATCACTGCACCCAGCAAATAGTCAAATTTTAGTAATCCATATCCCAGGCAGATACATATATAATAATATTTATTTGAGTAATTTATAAAATTGGTGAAAGTTATTTCATACCACAGATGCTTTATTCTGATTTTACCTGTTTTTCTATGTTTCGAAGAAGTAGGGTAGGGCTGCTTGGTGACATCTCAAAATCCTGTTCTGGTAAAGGATCTTGATTCCCTTGGGGAACCTGAGGATTCCCTGTAGTATTTAATGAAGCTGCTTGGTCAGCAAATTGTATTTGTTTTTTCAAAATGTCTTTTGGAAGCTGACATTCTTCTAGGATCACTATTCCCTAGACAAAGAGCAATGAAAAGAGTTGAAATTGAAACAAACTGATTACTAAAATCACCTTTAATACTACAGCACACGTGAAACTAAACAATATATTATCCCTTGGGAATCACAAAACATACACTTGAAAACACAGCTTAACTCTCTAAAAATTGGCTTATTTAAACTGTGTGCAATTCCTCAGAGCATTAATTTCCAGGATATATAAAGAACTCAAAAACTTAACACCAAAAGAAAAACTAAATAATCTAATCAATGAATGGGCAAAGGAATTGAATAGACACTTCACAGAAGAAGAAATACAATCGATTAATATATGAAAAAATGTTCAACATATCTAGGAATTAGAGAAATGCAAATTAAAACTACACTGAGATTCCAACTCAGTCCAATCAGAATGGCAGTTATCAAGACTACAAGTAACTAAATATTGGCAAGGATGTGGGGAAATGGATACACTCACACATTGCTAGTGGGACGACAAATTGGTACAACCACTCTGGAAAACAGTATGGAAATTCCTCAAAAAACATGGAATGGAACCACATTTGTCCAAATCATCTCAAAAAACGTTAAAAATCAGCATACTACAGTGACACAGCCACAATATTTATAGCAGCTCAATTCACAATAGCTAAGCTATGGAACCCAACCTAGTTGCCCTTCATTAGATGAATGGATAAAGAAAATGTGGTATCAATAGCTAAATTGTGGAACCAACCTAGATGCCCTTTAGTAGATGAATGGATTAAAAAATGTGGTATATATACACAATGGAATATTATTCAGCAATAAAAGAGAATAAAATCATGGCATTTGCAGGTAAATGGATGAAGTGGGAGAAGATAATGCTAAGTGAAGTTAGCCAATCCCCAAAAACCAAATGCCGAATGTTTTCTCTGATATAAGGAGGCTGATTCATAGTGGGGTAGGGAGCGGGAGCATGGGAGGAATAGACAAACTCTAGATAGGGCAAAGGGGTTGAAGGGGAAGGGAAGGGCCATGGGGTTAGAAATGATGGCGGAATGAAATGGACAACATTACCCAAAGTACATGTAGGAAGACACGAATGGTGTGAATATACTTTGTATCCAACCAGAGACATGAAAAATTGTGCTCTATATGTATAATATGAAGTAATGCAGTCCACTGTTTGTTATATATAAAAACAAATTAAAATTTTAAAAAAAAATTTAAAAAATAAAATGTGGTATACATACACAATGGAGTATTACTCAACCACAAAGGATGACTTTATGACATTTGCCAGCAAATTGATGGATCTGGAGATGAACATGCTAAGTGAAGTAAGCCAGTTCCAAAAAAAAAAAAAAAACCCAAAGGCTTAATGTTTTCTCTGATAGGGGGAAGTGAACCCACAATAACAGGTTGGGAGTGTGGGGAAGAACAGAAGTGCAATAGATTAAACAATGGGGAATAGAGGGAAGAGATGGGGGGATAAGAAAAGGAAAGACAGTGGAATGAATCTGACATAGTTTTCCCAGGTACTTATACGAAAACAACACAGTGAATCCCACCACCGTGTACATCCATAAGAATGGGACTCTAACTAGAATAAGATATATTCTATGCTTGTATAATTATATCAAAATGGATTCTGTTGTCATATATAACTAAAAACAACCATAAGAATGGGATCCTAATTAAAATAAGTTATATTCCATGTATGTACATCAAAATACTCTCTACTTTCATGTATATCTAAAAAGAATAAATTAAAAAAAATTTTTAAATGCATTAAAAAAAACCCACAATCAGCTTAAAAGTCTTCAAGTTTGAGATATCCAAGGAGCATTCAAATAAAATAAAATGTATGCAATTAATTTAACACATATGGCTTCAACTATCCTAGAGAAGCTTATAAGGTTTTTAATTATATGTTCCAGAAAAGACAATAGTTCCTAATAATAATGCTAGGCCTCCCACTGGCCACTTCCCAACACCCCCAAGGTCCTCACAGAGAAAACACTATGTTTCAGTCCTATAAACCCAGGGAGCTGGAATGCACCTGGAGAAAAAGTCCAATTGGAGTTCTTGCTGTTTATAGGGTAGCTGTGTTAATAATAAATACTCAGTCTTTCAACTCGTATGTGTTTTTTTTTTTTAATTAACATCTTGCCTCCTTTGCTTTATGTACACTTATTATTCTGAACCACTTGAAAGTAAGTTTGCTGGTGTCTTGATACTTTATTCGGAAATATGTCAGCATGGATCACATAAGAACAAGGACATTTTACTTTATTATTACAATAGAATTATCACACACAAGGAATTTGATACTGCTACAGAAGTATTACCTAAATACCCCTTATGTAGATTTCCTTAACTGTCCTAAAACTGTCCTGTGGTGTTTGTCATTATTGTTTTCCATATTGCTGAATTGTAAGAAACTGAAGGAAAGAGGGGGGATCTAAATACCTGTAGTATTTATTATTCTGTAGTAACACATTACAATTGATGTTTGGTAAAAATAGCAAACGTGTTACTTTTTAAAAAGTAATATAGTGATTGTATGTCAACTTTTCAACAAAGGAGATCTAATCATTGATCTCAATGACTATTTTCTTGGAATACAAAAATATGACTATCAAGAACTTCTTTTGAATATGTTTCCTCAAATTTGTTGGGAATCAAATCCAGGACCTAGATACAATAGATACAGTATCATCAATCTCAAAAGCTAGCTAAAAGTATTCATTTAAAATTTTTCTAAGTCTCTCACAAGGTTTTCCATAAGCACCTGCATGCAAAAGCACCACAAGTTTTTATTATCATATCAATTTAATTACAATTCCCTTTGGTTTGATTGTAGTTTATATTACGGGCCATTCTATTTCAGATCAGATTTATTTCATAATTGCCATACTTACTGTATTACTTCTATGGAAAAATCTATTTTGAATATCAAAAGCCCAGTTTCCAAACCTTCAGAACATATCTTTATATAAGAAGAGGAGCTCCTATAATTAGCGCAATAAGAATGATGTTTTTAAAATGCAATTAGGGAGACATATTCACCTCTATCATCTATTTTTTCCCTTAAAATATTGACCTAGACAAAATTTAGCATGTGAAAAATGAGAGGTCCATGATGACCCACCACATGTCGTTGGCCATGATGATCCAAGAACATAGAAAGGGATAAAGATTAAATCTTTTGGGGACAATATAGAGAATTAAGAGTCTGTTCCTAAAAACTTAGGAAAAGAAATCAGTTGTAGTAATCCCAGCTACGCCAGGAGGCTAAGGAAGAAGGATCACAAGTTCAAGGACAACCTCAGCAACTTAGTGAGACCCTGTCTGAAAAAATGAAAAAGTGCTGGAGATGGAATACAGTGGTAGAGTGCCCTGGGTTCAAGACTCAAAAAAATTAGGTAAAGAATGCTTTATTTCTAGATACTAGACTATCCTAGATATTAGAAGAATATCTAATGATAGATATAAGATAAATAGCAAAGATCTGGAATCTTTTTAGAAAACGAGTTACATATAATAACAGAGAAGTAAAAACTCTAGTGTAAGATTAAAGCAAATCAACTGTTCTAGAAAAGACAATAGTTCCTGATAATAATGCTAGGCCTTCCACTGCCCACTGCCCAACACCCCCAAAGTCCTCAAAGAGAAAACACTATGTGTTAGGCCTATAAATCCAGAGACCCAGGAGGACAAGGCAGGAGAATCTCAAGTCAATATCAACGTTAGCAATTTAGAGAGAACCTGTCTCAAAATTTAGAAAAATTAAAAGGGCTGGAGGATATAGTTCAGCAGAAGAGCACCCCTAAGTCTGATCCTCTATATCACATGGAAAGAGAGAGAGAGGAGAGAAACCCTGTGTGGAAAAATAAACAATAGCCTCAGGAACATCTTTTTTATTCACATAAAGCCACCAAAGCTAATCTCAAGCAAACATTTAAATGAAAAATTTTAAATCACCAAAATACACAATGTGAGAGCCATTTTTCAATTAATTTTTTTTACAGTAACTCAAGAAGCTATAAGAGCAAAGAAAGTATTGTTTTCCCTATGTAGCATAATAGGTCAACTAAACTGTAAATAAAAAAATTAAACATCATGATTAATTCCTAAGAAATTTAAAGAGAAACTATGAAAATAAAACAAATATTGTGTTCCAATAGCATATTTGTTTGGTATTTTCTAAAAAATAAACATAATGTTATTTTTGTTGTTGTTGTTGAATTGGGAATCAAATCCAGGACCTAGTCCATGCGAGGCAAGTTCTCTATCACCAAAGTACACCTCCAGTCCTCATAATACTATTTAAAATTTTTTTTTTTTTAGTTTTTGATAGACCTTTATTTTATTTATTTATATGTGGTGTTGAGAATCAAATCCAGTGCCTCACATGTGCTCAGCAAGTGCTCAACCCAGCCCTTGTAATACTATTTTTAAGAGAACAAAGGGCTAGATACAAATCTAACCTAAATAAAGAGAAACATAAGGTCATATCAACCATCACTGGGAAGTTTAGATTTCTTTCCTTAAAATCATTTATAGGCATTATAAAAACATATGATCAAGCTTTTAAAAAAATTTAAACACCAATTACCTAGTATTGCTAGGATATATAGAATATTAAAATATCCTTTCTCTCACTTGGTAGAGTACTTGCCTCATATGCAAAAGGCTATGGGTTCAATCTCCAGCACCACAAAAAAAAAAAAAAAAATCTTTTCTCAAGTGAAAGGATTATGAATCAGACTTTCTAGATTCAAATATAAAACTCAGTCATCAATTTAACTGGGAACTCATATTCTTGGAAATTTCCAAGTTGTTTTATGCTTGATGTATTCTTAGAACTGTATTTACTATAAAAATGAATGTGGGGGCTGGGGTTGTGGCTCAGTGGTAGAGTGCTCGCCTAGCATGTATGAGGCACTGGGTTCGATCCTCAGAACCACATAAATGTTAAATAAAGATATTATGTCCACCTAAAACTAAGAAATAAAATAAATGATTTTT